AAAAACAAGATATAAACACAAAAACACATAGACACAAATAAAAATATAAAAATACAAGACATAAACACAAAAAACCCAGAGATATATATCACACATACATAAACACACAAAAAAAGATATAAACACAGAAAACACATAGACAAAAACATAAACACAAACACAAAAAAAGATATAAACACACTAACACAAAATATATAGACAGACACATAAACACAGAAATATAAGACATAATCACACAAACATAAACACAAAAATCACAAAGACACAAACGCGAGAATAAGATAATCCAAAGATTATTCATAGTGAATTTCAAATTTAAGACCAATATAGCCCGACTGGAAAAATTCAGTTTGGCTACTTTGGCCTTGAATTTGAAATTGACGGACAGGGTTATACAATAAAGTCTAAATGCAACATTCAGACATTGTTTTTACGTTATTCTACAATGTCCAGATTTTGCGATTAAGGCTCCGAACGGGTGCTGGAAATGCTTCAAATCTGGGCCCGGATTTAAAAAAAGTACAAACTACTTTCCTGCTGGCAGCCACTTGGTGATGTGAGGGTTAATTGTGTTAGTTATTAAACGCTTGCTTAATAAGATTTGTAAAAATGAATTCATAAATAAAAAACCCTATGAGGGTCAATAAGAAAATTACTAAAACGGAGGCTTTAAACCTCCATTTGCCCTTATCTGCCATACAGCAGGTGGGAGCATATATACCAAATATTTAAAGGGACATTATAGTCAACCGAACAAATACAGCTTAATGTATTTGTTCTGGTGAGTATAATCATTACCTGCAGATATTTCCAGGCATTTCCATGCAAACACTGCCTTTTCTCCAGTGGCCACACCTCAGTTTTCCATTGGAGGTGCTTCCTGGGGAAGTGCTGCACAGCGTGCATCACTTCTGTTCAGCGTCTCCACGCTCTGCATGGAGATGCTGAATTTTTCTCATAGAGATGCTTTGATTCAATTCATCTCTATGAGGAGGTGCTGATTGGCCAAACCAGTGTTTGGCCCCGCCCCATCCAACCTCCTTGCCGATTTTAGCAGTGGTGTATTTTGGATCTGTGCTGCATGATGGAACTCAGGCATACCCTAATTTACATTTGCCCCACCCCTTCCTGTCAATGCCACACCTCTTTGAACATTTGAAGCACTATTTGCATGCTGGCACAGTTAGCAGCCAGTGGGCAAATGGTTAAAACAAATCTGTGCCGCCAAGGGTTAATCGTGTAACGGCTATACAGCCACCACATAGCTAGCCCTTGTTATGAGGTGTTAATAAGGGGGACCACACAGAGTCTGTTCAGTTCACGAACAGAAGCCGAACAATTCAATTTGAATAATGTATCCTTGACTTATCCACGAGTCATAGCATTTTTCACAATTGTTGGTCAAAAAACTGCACTCGACTTATACACGAGATCGACTTATCCATGAGTATATATGGTACATGTAATCCTGTTTCTTCCAATATTTATGTTTTAATATATGAGAACTATGAGGTACTATTTGGTCACATACAGTAGAAATGAGAACAAGCAAATAACCTGGTGGTTGGTGGAGAACACAGATTTAAAAAGCTTCTCCCATAATCTAAAAATAATGAATGTTTACATTCGATGCTAGGGTCATTCACCTAATGGTCAAACAACACAAATCTGAAGAGTGATGTCTGACTTCATTATTGATCTGACTCAGGAAGTGAATTCATGGAACACATACCACACTCAAATGAAATGCCAATGTCACGATTCAGTGGACCAGATAACTCCCAGCTGTGAATACACCACCCAGGTTTAACACAGAGGGCTACCATAATGTGGCATATGAGATATATTTTTGTGAACACCTGGACTAGTAATTCTTGGAGAATCATCCTAAATCTGGTCAAGTGGGCTGAACATGAGGCATAGGTAACCAGCTTTTTACGATTGTCTTCTAACCAAAGTAGAAAAGACTAACAGTTTGAGAATACCCGGAATGTACGAGAATCACTTGGTGTTATTTACTGAACAATATATTTTGGTACAATAATAAAGGAATTGTGAAGACAAAATAGTCGATTTGGGAAAAAAGATGGGAATGTCTCTATTTCAGCTGTTAGAGGTTAAAGGAACACTCTAAAGACAATTCTCTTTCATTTGTTTCTTTCCCTGGGCATACTTTCAATTTGTGCTGGATAATACTCCAATCAGAAACTTCGCAGGAGTTACAAACATGCGCACGAAAGTGATCACGGCTTTTATATTCTTTGGCGGGAAGGCAGGCATAGCACAGCTCTTTCGGAAATCCTCCGTACCTAAATCAGACAGCCAGGGTGGTGTTTCAACCATTATGATAAAAAGAGCTGGCTTCTATTAAAATCAGAACTTTTATAAATTGTCAATAAATTAACAGACTCCAGGTAAGTAGAGCACTTCAGCAAGCTAAAGTGTAAATTGTCTGTGGAGTGTCCAATTAAAATTAGCAATTATCTCATCAATTCTTTAACACACAACTTTTCCAAACCTTGGTGTTCCTTCAGCCAGATGCCCACGGACAATTCTTCACCTCCTTTCTAACATTAATCAAACAGTTTTATCTGTCACTTACTTGGGGT